CAAACCAGTGGTTGATAGCATGAGCAATGATCCAAGATGTCAGCGTAGGATGATACATGATTGGCCAGGTCAAACACTGTAATTACATGCTCGTCATTTTTCAGCCAATTCTTCTCACAAGCATGGAATGTTGGTACTTAATCTGCCTTGGAATCTCATTCAATCTTCATCTTCATATTCATGGCAACTGTTTTGTTACCATGGTTACTGTTACCACGCTTACTCCATGTACTCTGGTAAAGCATTTTGGCAGTACCTATCCTTTTAATTAAGAAATGGTTCATCAGTCATATGACAAAATATTCACTCATAATTTAATCTTAAGCAAGAAACAATCAATTCACTATTACGTATCATGATTAATGTACATGATATTTACTCAATGTTGACAAGCCATCAAGATAACCAACTTTTCCTTAATTCTGTAGCCTGCATGTCCTGAGGCAGTCAAAGACACCAATCAAATAGCAGTCATCTGATGTAAAGAAAGACCTCCAAGACTCTCGCTGGAAGATAGTCTCATCATCAATGGTCATCCTCATATCAACTGATAAAAAATTAATTTGTTCCTATGCTGAATACCCCTTACCAGTTATGATTATTTAGCTTATCAATGAAATTTAATACACTTTGATGATGCAACAAGGCCTCGTAAAGCTATAGTGTACAGGAGAATACGATAAGACAGGGATTTATCTATTCCCAATATTCAGCCCCAAGTCTGCATCAATGTCAGTAAAATTTCCCAAATTGGATTTAACCATTTCCCAGTTCATGCTAATAATGCGCAACTAAAGATATGGCCTTGTTGAGGTGACTTGTATTTCACTGATAAAAGGACGAGTGAAGAAAAAAGAAGCTCTCAATACATGTACTCAAATTTGCAAAATTGCATTGAAGGCAAAATTTAAGTACATTGTTTTAACGCGGTATTTTAAGAAATACAACAATGAAATCATCCCAATTTTTAAAACATAGTGATATTTTCTTTTCCAATTTGCTTGTCAAGGGCACTGTTCAATCAAGGATATTTTCAATTAATTATTTCCTTTTACTTTTTTGCAAGTCTCCTGGACCCTTAGCCTTGTTCAGAGTCAAGGGAATATGAAGCGTGTCCAAAATTTCGCCCGTAATGTTCTAGTTTCAGACAAGTTGGCACTTTGTTCCACAAAGCCTTCAGCAATATGACCTAGGAATATTTTGAAATGGTTTCAGTACATCTGTTCTTTAACTTTCCACAGAATAATTCAAAGTTGAGCAAGTTCCAGAACTTGCCTGGTTCTTAATACTGCTTTGATCAGCATATAAGGGAAAATCAGCATCTAAGTTTGGATGACGTTCCAAATGATGGAGGCCATTTCCACCTTAGTGGTACCACTGGACAACATGATCAATAGTCACATGTTAGTGGTGCTCCAATTCCAATAGAGTTCATCTCTTCTCAGGATCTCGTAAGATGGTTACTGTTTTCCAAAAGCTCCTTTAGATTGACATGACTGTTGTCTGTCATTATACCCAGCATCACTCTACGTCATACAACATGTACAATAGAAACAGGACACAAGAAGCACAATCCATCGGAAGTCAATCATTGGCCATTTCTTCTTGTGATGATCGATACTGATTTTGAAGTTATTTCCAACACAACCTGTCTGTAATTAGGACTAGATTACATGGTCTAGACAATACTCCATAACAGTGAGAGCCACAATCCTATCACAGCAGAATATGTACGAGGGCACAGCCAGATCATAGTGATGTATTGTTTTCCCCTGTCCTACAAATGTGCAAGGACCATCATTCTCAACAGCCGTTGTGGACATCAGATCCCCATACTTGTATCTTCTCATAACAAACTTGACTCCAACAACTGTGCGCATAAACCAAAAAAAAATGGATTCTACCAGCCCAAACAAGGCTCTCTAAGCATCATTTTCAGGACAATTTACAGCAGTAGAAACTAACAGTTTTAGTCAACTAGCCCTCAGAATGATAACATTTAGCAAAACCCTTAAAAAGTGCAAATTTCTACTCGTCCTTAGGATACCTTAACTATTGGGCAGTTTGGCAAGGAGTATAGGGCTAGTGCCAATTTCTAACACTGATTTAGTGTTATCAAATATGGAGTACTATTAACTGAGCTTACTGGACCGAACAGAAGTTTACTAGACTCGGGCTTCGGACTAGTGGCTAAAGGCACAGACTGCCATTTCCATCACGAATCACAGTGAGAACCTTCCAGATTTGGTGATTCCTACAAACTTTAAATGGACGTCATAGATACCAGGCCTGGATCAACATACAGGTACACCGGCAGACATCGGTTCTTGATGTCGATACAATATACAGATACAGTCTTGGGTAGTATCTGATAAATAAACATTATTTTACAAAAACCATAAGTTTACAAAGAAAAACTTATATTTCAAACTTACAAGAACGACCTAGGCTGCAATTCCACGACATATATATAGTCGTCATAGATATGGCATCAACATACATTCAGCACGATTGAAAATCGTGTATATTTCACCGTTACACTTTCGATAGTTTCATCTGCATTGACACTATCTTTTTCTCCTATAAAACTTGAAAATGTATTCATGAATTACATTATCTGTCGTACCTAATAATGTCAATAGAAACTTACAGGATAGTTGATTCATTCATCAAAAGGTGTCCATCGAAAACAGTGAGTTGCCTACTCACAACGCTGCCTGTGATTTCTCACTGGGCATAACCGATTCCTATGCATAGAGCTTGACATCAGGTACATTGGCGGAGTGCGCAATATTGTTGATGCCTGATTAGCAAATGAGTTTGTTTTTACCACAAAATCATGAAAATCTTATTCTGATTAAAACACTGATCTACCACACTAAAGTTATTGAAAGATATTTTTTGTCACTTAAATCCTACCAGAAATCAAAAAGAAAACAATCCCAGTTAAAGTTTTAAAACGACTTCGGAATGACAACAAAACAAAAACTAAATGGACATACCCACAAATATTTCTCCATCATAATACACAAATTTCATGTCGTGAAACGATCATATTTCAGATGATGTTTGCCCTTTAGGTAAGGCAGCACTGGTTTCAAAGAGTGACCTCTGCAAGAACGGCCAAGGGCGAGAACTATTTCTTGTGGCCAAACAATAAATTGAATTAAGAGTTTAGAATATGCTACTACATTATGCTTTGACAGTAAAAATTGAAAACTGTGACTTAATCATTCAAACGTAACTCATAAACATCAGGAATGTCTTTTCAACTTTTGGTTACTCGTAAACATTTTCTGGCTGCTGCACATGGCAAACATGCCACCTTCTGTGGTAAATAAATGACTGAATTGTTGCTAATTAAACAAAAGAGTGAACATCATGAACATGGAACAATATTCATTGTATAATGAAGATATGATGAACTGTCGATACAAATTATTTGAAAATGACCTATGAACATGATGAAATGCTGTGACTATTTTACATTAGTTTTCTGATATATTTTGATGTAGAATTTTGCTCTGTACCAAGAAAGGTTTGATTTGTTGATTCTTGAAAGTTTAATTTCTAATTATTTGCTTTAAAATATTGTTTATATATATTAAATTGAATATTAGACAGTAAAACAATGAAAGCATTGCATAAAAAATATATAACGCTGTTTGACACATACCCGTCCTAATGTGTATTGCCAATATGTATATATATCGGAATGGGCTCTCAAATACCCAGGTCTAATAGATACCTCACCATTGAAATGGCTAGGATTTTTACATGAAAGGGCTAGTGTCAATCTGATAATTCAGAAATCATGATTATGAAAAGAATGTTTAGATCATACCTATTAGCAAAACCAGACTCGGGTTTAGTGTGTATGCACTTCTGATTTGTACAAAAACAATATGGACTACTATGCTTTACAGGTGACATGTGATTAGTTTGTGTTTCTGTCCCCTAACGACACAGTCAGGGGCTTCAAATTAGTGATTGAAGGCTGTTTTACACTAACATCCTGGCTATAAATAATAGTCTGGTCCAGGAAAACTGTGAGCAATATTGTCTGGCGAGGATGACACACTATCACAGAGGCTACCTGTACACTTCAGGCCTTCCTCCCACATTAAGCTGACATGCCATGATATAACTTGACTACAGTGGAACACGGTAAAATAACTAACACGGATAGAGGGAACAAAATACCTGAGTTATCTCCTATATCTTATCATATACAATGTACGTAAACAACAAACTCTCTACAGTGAACTAATGTACAGCGAATTGATATCTGATCCCTGACAAGCCAAAATACCACTAATTAGTGACGTGTATAGAGAACTGAGGAATCTCACTCAGTGTCAAGTGTCACTCACAATGATTGGCTATGCGCAATCAGCAGCAAATCAACACAACTGCGGTGACATTATTAATCTTATCTGTAATTGGACTAATCTTGCCTGTAAAACAAACTTTTTTAAGATGACATCATTCGATACTTTGCCTGATCTCAACGAGCCAGTTTCACGAATGCAGTCAGCAAAACGAGGCCACGGCAAAATTACTGACCACACATCTTCCCGTATGTAAATAGTGATATGTTTGATGAACAATGGTGAAAAAATGTTATGAATGTAATGTTATTAAATGTTATTAATTGAATGCTATGAAGTGATCACTGCCAAACAAGTCAATGCTGCAATTATGTGTATTATTTGTTGTTTTATCCAAGATGGCGGACATTTCCAAGCAAAAGGTATATAACGAACAACATATATAACAACCTAATTTCTCCGGTCCTTAGTAGTTCGTTATATCCTTGTTCTACTGTACTGTTCAAATCGGGTTTTAAACCCAACTCACTCACTCACTCACTCACAGACGTTACACATTGCGACGACCTGATTCTCATTATAGTCAGCCTCTACACAAGCACATGGTGCTGGGAGCTGCCCCAGGGGTGCCGAGCGGTGACACAGCTTCATGGTCCTACATCAACTCACCTGTCAGGGTGAGACGGTCCCCTCCAGAACGTATCAGATCAACCACTTGTTTGTGGGTGGAGCCTTCTACATTCACATTGTTCCTAAAACACAAGAAAACAGGGCAATATGAAACACTTGAGTTAATATTTGCTCATATATCACAATAGACAACACACATTACACTTATAAGGAGAACTTTAGGCACACTCTCCTAAACCACCCCCAACTTCCCGAGGCAAGGGCGTTAAAGCCTAGTTTGGCAAGGTTGGAAACTGGACTGTTATAGTCAGTTAATGCCCTTGCCTCGGGAAGATGGACCACCACCTGCTTTAGGCATCCTTCAAACAACGAAATTGGCTTATTTTGATAGTTTGTCTACATTTTTATATCATTATTCTGGCAAGTGCCTGAAACAATCATCATTTCCCCTGAAATCAGAATAAAAAAGACAAACCAACTGTCACAAGAGTTGAAATGTGGTCTTGCTGATAATTTGGTACAGCTGATGTTTGATATTTCTTCACCAGTTAGGTAACCTAAAGTACATACTCATGATATGACAAACATGATAAAGTTTCAAAACAATGCCAGTGTTCGACATTTTAGGGATCCTGGGGTCCTCGAGCCCTTCTATTGTATTAAGACCCTCTAAATTTTTAACATTAGTGTTCAAATGCCTCAAAGTCCAAGTTGGGACCACACGCAGAAGTAAATACAGACACTGGCATGATAACTGTATAACTGCACGGAGAATATCAAGTATTTGCCCATTTGCCCGAAACAATCTTCTCATGAAGTTAACGGTAGGCCTATCCTTTAGCTAAGAGGAAGTAAATTGTTTCTGATGGTTTGTCAACACATGACATACCCAACAGTTACTCAGATGAGGGGGCACGTGTGGCCCAGTTGTCTAAGGCAGCGCAATTCCCTGTACAGTGTTGCGTCCCTTAGGCACGCCAGAAACCTGTGATTGTGGGTTCGAATCCTGGTTTGCCCTGATGATGTTTTTAGGTTTGTCAGCACCATACCAATGCTCGTGGGTTTCACCCAAGTGGTAAACGTCTGAGACCTGCATCACTTCGGGCTTTCCTACCACATCAAGCCGACAAGCCTTGATATAACTGGAATACTGTTAGAAGCGGTGTTAAACCCAACTCACTCACACTACTCAGATGAGTGCTCGAAAACTATTCTCCAAAACAAACCTTCAACAAATGAATCAGGCAGCAATATTCCAGCTATATCAAGAATCCGTAAATAATTGAGTATGAACCAGACAAACCAATGATCAATATTATGAGCAACATTGCACTCGGTCAGAATACTAGTATAACAACACGTAGACAATCAACTAAGGCCACACTATTCTAGCTATCTTTACAGATTTTTTACATGAAAATACCTACTGGTAGGTGGGAGAAAAAAAGCAATTCAATTTGTTGTTTTTTTGGTTTTCTGCTTCAGAGGTTGGCTGGTATAAAAATATATAAATGAATTCATGTGCGAGGAGCCTGCAACACAGCTGTTGCTTTATGCAATGTAAACCTGATGAATCAAGCGAGAATACTGTTGTGTATCTATGCATCCAATCAATTTCAGGAAAATCAACAAACATTATTTTGATTCCCATGTTCAATGTATGTCCACTTCAGTGGGTCCTGGATTCGAAAATAGTTTTGGGTGCAATATATCAGCTTCTCATCGGGATAAAAAAAAGAGAGCAAATTTTGACAAAAATATATTTTCATTTCTACAAAATTATGCAATATATCAGCTTCTCGTCGCAATAAAAAAAGAGAGCAAATTTTGACAAAAAAATATTTTCATTTCTACAAAATTTATAGTTGACAGATCCATAAAGCAAGTTAAAAAAAGTGTAGCCTGAGTTACTGATCTTGACCAGACAATCCTATAGTTGCTTCTTATGACATGCATAAGGTTACTGGTAACTTTTTCTAACTTGAAAGCCCTAAGGGTCCACAGAAAATGGATTTACTATCAGTAATGACAATTACAATGCAAAAAAATAATGAAATATATTGCAAAAGACTGATACATGTGCAGAAAATGTGTCACAATATATTGCAATATCTATAGAGAATTGACTGTGACACTGCATCAGTCTGGTGCAAAGCCTTTGAGACTATTGGCTAGAAGAACTTTGTGTTTCTTCATAACTTCCAATCAATTATTTACATAATGATATGGATAATTTATGGCTGAGCTTACCATACAAGCTGTACTAGACTTGCACAAGTCTCTAAGGCAATGACCATTAGTTCCTATTTATGTAATTCAGGGATGTGAGCAGGTTTTGACCAAAAAAGAGCAAAACTCTAGAGGGTCTTGGGGCATGTCCACCCAGAAATATTGTAAACATTTAATTGCATTTTAAGCAATTTTGTACAGTTTGGACAACATTCACACCAAGAATTATAACAAGTCAATGGCAAAAGTCATTTCAAATAAACAAAGATGGCAGATGCAGTAAAAGTTAAATCAGTACATTCAGTACAAGGTGAGTGAGTGAGTGAGTGAGTGAGTGAGTGAGTGAGTGAGTGAGTGAGTGAGTGAGTGAGTGAGTGAGTGAGTGAGTGAGTGTGAGTGAGTGAGTGAGTGAGTGAGTGAGTGAGTGAGTGAGTGCGTGCGTGCATGTGTGCATGATTTTCAGTGATCAGTTCATATAATTCAACAGCAAGTACATCTGTTTACAAATTTCTTTCCCAGTTTACTTCTTGCTTCAGGCTAAGAAATACACATGATACATATCCCTACATAACCAAACTAAGACATTGAGACAAACATCCTGGATAAATCCCTAGGTGTGATGTCATCGTTCATCAAGTACCTTCTTGTTCAAAGTAATGAAATGGTAGTGTAATTTGAACTGAGGAAAAACTTGAAGGAATTTAGAAATAATACACTTTAGACACTAACAGGTTTCTGTCTAGTTCCACAGCTATGGTAATAACAGCTTACACCCTTACACTACAATCTACTGAAAATGATGCTGTGAGGCAACCTTTGGACCTGAAGAACGCTTGACTTGGGAATCTGAAGAGAACTGATGCATACACTATCTTTATGAAACAGTTGGTCATTCTCCTACCTGCTCAGCAACCTGCTCAGCAACCTACTCAGAAAACTGCTCAGCAACCTGCTCAGCAACCTACTCAGCAACCTGCTCAGCAACCTGCTCAGCAACCTACTCAGAAAACTGCTCAGCAACCTACTCAGCAACCTGCTCAGCAACCTACTCAGCAACCTGCTCAGCAACCTGCTCAGCAAACTGCTCAGCAACCTACTCAGCAACCTACTCAGCAACCTGCTCAGAAAACTGCTCAGCAAACTGCTCAGCAACCTACTCAGCAACCTACTCAGCAACCTGCTCAGCAACTTGCTCAGCAACCTGCTCAGCAACCTACTCAGCAACCTACTCAGCAACCTACTCAGCAAACTGCTCAGCAGCCTACTCAGCAAACTGCTCAGCAGCCTACTCAGCAAACTGCTCAGCAACCTACTCAGCAAACTGCTCAGCAACCTACTCAGCAAACTGCTCAGCAACCTGCTCAGCAACCTACTCAGCAACCTGCTCAGCAACCTGCTCAGCAACCTGATCAGCAAACTGCTCAGCAACCTGCTCAGCAACCTACTCAGCAACCTACTCAGCAAACTGCTCAGCAACCTGCTCAGCAATATTCAAGCATATGATGGCGGTCTGTAAATAATCGAGTCTGGATCAGACAATCCAGTGATTGACATCATGAGCATCGATCCACGCAATTGGGATACAATGACATAAGAGGCGAGTAACAGGATCGGGTGGTCATGAGCTCGCTGAGTTGGTTGATGCATGACAAGCATAGTCGCCTTTTACGGCAAGCACGGGTTGCATAAGACCAATTCTATCCCGAATCTTCACGGGTCAATTTAATATAGCTAAATCATTGCAAACGGTGATGGGATATCATAACAAAGTCATATAAAATAAAGCGGTGGAACCCGAGACTGACATGTGTTTTCGTTGTTTATTAAGTGTATACACAACTTGCAAGGATGACCGAGCGCTATCGGTCAACATCATATTAAGCGTGGTAAAAACTACACCATATACCTTCAGGGAAGTCAGGTGATAACAAACTTAAATTAAAGAAAAAGTGAAACTTGATATAAAACATAAGTAGACAGGATGATTCACCATATAAATTGTAGTTCCAGTTCTGCTAGGCATTGTTTTATTTGCAGAAATTAAGATTACCATGTATATTGTCTCGTAAACTAAGCCGGAAATAGAAATCACATGTGCAGACATTTTCTACCAATCTATCATGTCTATTGTTCATTTGGCTAAAAAATAACATTAATCATGATTATACAACTTCAAAGAATTTTGATGCAACTATCAAAAGAATTGTATTTGAAACTGTTACTTTATCAGAAATATTATATTCCAATATAGTGTTACTATAGCGCATCTTTTACCCTATATATTTAAAATAATAATAACCATAAGAGTAGCACTTTGGAAAAGCTGATTGCTATTACCAGGTACTTTTTCTTTAGGGAACAATTTGACCCGTCACCGTTGAAACTTCCAGCGGACTTGCGAAAACGTTATTTAACAGTCAAACTACAACAAATATGACTTTTAATGAGTCAAAAGTGTGGCATTTACAATATATGATTACATGACTCCATTCTCTGTCAACTAAAGTTGATTTCAAAGCACCAATATCAGTATTCTGACCATGGTTGCTACAAATAAAGGTGAGTTACTTCAAATATGATTTCGCCGAAATTAATGTAAACAATACTGAATGATTGACTAAATTTAATCAAATAGATGGCAAAGTCCATATACACAATGAACACTTTTATAACCATATAGTGTAATAACAGAAATAAATTGCACAAATTGTGTATTTCTGTACGGATTTGTTGACATGCTATTTCCAGTGTCTTTAGTTTGTGTTGGGGAAAAAACAGCCAAACTCATTGTGGTGTGTTTACTGGGGACACAAGTGTGCACTATACTAAAAAAATATGGTATATGTTAAGAAAGTGACCCTTGATGTTGTTTGTTTATTATTTTATTCACATA